GGTTAAGCAGAAAAACATACAGAATAGAATCGTGTTTTCGCTAGATGTTACGTCATTGTTCACCCTTCACTGGTGGAAAGGGCTAACAAAATTACAGGAATTATTACAGGAAACAAACCGAACATTTATCTGCTTGCATACGACTTGAAAGAACTGTTATTACGATACATGCAACGTTGAGTTTCTTTCTGACAGCCACACATACAGAGGGATGAACTAGGTAGCACTAGGTTCCCCGGTTAGACTACTACTTGCCGGCTTGTTAATGTCAACTTTAGAAAATTGTTTTGAAATTTAACATGGGCTCAATGGATAATTATTGTAGACATATACACTATGCCTTTATCATTTGTTTAATGAACCACTGATGAGTTTTTGACATTTCACATCTACAGATAACATTTGCTCATGAACTAGAAAATTTATGAAAAACATCTTTCTTGGACGTTCTTCCAACTTGGTCAGACTGCAGAGCGATCATGATAAGTATTTAACATAAACCATCCTAGAGTAGAAAGTTGTATACCTTTATATTTTTGTTCCATTACCGCAGAAAAGGCACTCAGTTTGATGTCTGCTTGAAAGGACAAAGGGAATTTTCTCTGACACTGTGATTGACAAGGTTTTGAAGATTTGATGCGCATATTGAGAGAGAATAAATACTGTGAAAATTTCATAAAGACGAAGAACGGCTAAGCCAGTTATCTCTACTTGTGACAAGAAGGAAATATTCATCCTCTTTCAGTTTAAGGGTGATAATTTAACAGAAATTATTGCAAGTAGACTTCAACATTCATTGAAGTAGACGTTTCTTACGGCCAATATGAGCGGCAATTGATAATAGATCAGTCTTACCATCACATTTGAAAGACAGGATTTCTCATATGCCCATGTCAAGGTCTACTCATATATTCAACCGTTACTGTAGAGTTAACTAATTATGATGAAATATGGGAACCTTTGCACAAAATGCGAAAGAACGTTTACCAGTATGGCTAGCAAAAGGACAGAAAAAGACTGTTGCCAGTTCCATTTAGTTCTACCTAATTGACTCTGGTCACAATGCTACTTTCTTAATTATCCACAGGATACCAGATAGAATGCAATAATCAGTGAAGATTCATCTTCAAATCACTAAAGCTAATGCTGAAAAAATCATGAAACTTTTTTTCAGACGAAGGTCAAATAATTTAGATAGTTTTGTGTGGATTTATTGATTTCAGGATAGTTTTCGTCACAAACCGATATCAGCCAGGGCCCTGCTAAAAATCTAGGAGTACTGGACAGTTGTTTCGTCTTTTACTAAGACTCCTGAGTTGTGCCTGCTCACTACCTCAGGGTGAATCAGGCTTAAGACCGCCGCATGGCATGGAGAATGTGTCATCATTCTGATAGTGGATGCAAATCCAATGCCCCACAATTCTGATCCTGTCAGTTCATGATATAACGAAGTTCAACGTCATCACTGTGTATCCATCCCAGCTGCTGACCTGTCTGTCTTCACAAATCTTCTCTTCAGAACATTGGAAAACCCACCGCAAAGTAAGTTACTTGTGAGCTCTTGAAGACAGCGACTTTTTAGAAAACCATTTGAATTACATTTCGTGGATTATAAGTGACTCACTTTGAGATGAATACCCAAAGTATTAATGGGAAACAATGACCTATGAAGCTAACCAAGTCGGGTCTGGGGATGAATACTCACTGATGGAACTGAACGATGAGGATGTTATGTCACGAACTGAGAGCAGTAGAAAAGACTGACCAGTGAACTCCAAGTCACTGGCTGAGTGGTGACATATTCTCCAAGGGACTTGATAGTCCCGAACTGTCGGACAGTCCGAAACTAGAACATAACAACCGTCCATTGCTCCCAAAGGTTGTTTCAAATGATATCAGTCTATTTTAAACTATTTTCAAACTTGATTGGCTAAATGCATTTAGCATAAAGTGATATCTCCGTTCAACATAATGTTTATTTCAGAATTTCACTAGTTCACTGAAGTTTGTCGAACAATACAAGGTGGCGAACAAAATTATCTATCAGACAGCCAAAATATTTCTCTGCGATGAGTTTGATATTAGACTGTACAGTAATACTTATAATTGGTAAAGTGACAGACAGTTGCCCCGGAAAACTTCTCAGTCAATTTATACATGATACAATCAGTAGTAGTCTTGGGTTGATTAAAATGAATAAGGTCGTTGGGAGTGTCATGGGAAGAAAGAAGAATAGTCCATCTCAAAAAGTCAAATCCTGCTGGAAAAGACTTTAAGCAGAAATACTAGGTGGAATAAAGCTAGAACAAAGACATTCGTAGAATAAATGGGCTCATTTTATCTCACGGCCCTTCATCAGCTGCAAAGTCTACAATTGGAATGGAGGATTAGTAGTAATAATGGCATAATGTAGTTCATATGTGTAGGTGAGTGAGTCAGGAAAACATAGGAATAATAATCACAATTCTTAGTCAAAATCAATAGCGATTTATATTTAATGGGACGGAAAATTCTGGAGCTGTGTTCAGAAATGGAGTGGCAACAAACAGAGAGGAGTATAAGAGAAGAGGTCGTTGAAGAGCTAGTAGGTTACGCAATAGCGTGAAAAACTGGAAAACTGTTAGTTTGAGTTACTAACTCTCAGCAAGTAATTCATGAAGAGATGATGCAATCAAGGAAGAAGGAAAACTATATACATATGTCTACAAAAATGAATATGCAGTCATTAGGGTGAAGAAAGGTTAACCTTAGTCTCTTTCTGAGTTGACAGTTTGAAAATGTTTAATAGTGAGAATTCTTGCAAACCATAATAAGAATGTTCTTTCTTTGTTGGTTATCCTGAAAAATTAAGAAACAAGCGAATCATGTTGGATCGACTACTTTAAAGATGAAAAAGGAAGAGTTGAATGACGCGATTTTATCCAGTGTTTACACATGAAAAGGATTGTGGTTATTCGATTGTGTTTCAACACAAGCCAGACAGTGATCAACAGTGTGGTTCTCAAATATCCTAACATCATCACTACTTATGTATACTACATAATATATAATTTTCTATATTGGGATGAATAAACTTCACGTATTTGTTAAGAAAATGGCTTCATATTCAGTCTCGCATGCTGGTAGATTTCGCCACGTGTACTAGTGTGTTCGCAGTGAGTGTATTCAACACATTTAGGCTTAACTGTCATCCATATACACTGGAACAAGTCTTGGAGTCAGAGTTATGTCACTCTAAAGAAGGAAACTGGGGTGCTTTAACACTTACCGACTGATTTACGGTTGACATACACAATCTTCATACATTTGTCTCCTCAGTAATGACAGCTTTGAGTTTACGTTGTATAGTCAGTCTCTAGTTAGGATCTGCATACTTTCATTCACTTAGTCAGAACCTTGACAACATATCTATCTATCTCAAAATGTACTCATATGCTGTCTCATCACTGCCTCTTTAATATCCATTTATACTCGAACTGGTCTTATCCAAAGAACACCCACAAGACGATGTGAAACATCATGAACAAGGTCCTTAGTTATAATCCAGGCTTTGTGAATATGTTTTGAGCGAGAGAGAAAGGCTGAAAGAATCGATATTTGTGCACACCAAACTTATATATCTATAGCCTTAAATAAAAGTCAGCCCCAAATCAGAAGTTCGGATCCGATTCATTCAGGATTTATATCCCATATGCTACTTCTTCGTCATTTCAATGTATACCGACCAGATCTTTGATACAATTAAGCTACAAGATGATAGTTGACATCATTTCCCACTCGGTTGGGATCAGAAAAATAAAATTTCCATGTTATCCTACTGTAATCTTTACCCACGTTTTATTGAAACTATACATCTTGGTTCTCGTAATGATAGATAGTAGCCGGCAGTGGAATTCAGAACACACATTTTGTCCCATTTCGGATTCGATAGCTCGATTTACCTGCCCTTAACTTACTGTGGTTTTACTGAAAGTAGGAGCGAACAAGCATTTCTTCAAATGCCAGGACTTTATCCATTAAGATACTTCATTATCATAGCAAATATTTATGTGATGAGCATACTTTAATGTTATGACTTTTAGTTTCTCATCAATAGTTGGATCGAACCGAACCACCATTATTGGTATGTGGGTTACTGTGCAAATGCCGCGATACGGTCAGTACCTGAGAAGCAGGTACATTAAGCTGATGAGCAAGAAATTGAACCAGATATACATTTTTAACTGCTCTGCGAAGCACTACTCATCATTATCATCAAAGTTAGATTACTAGCGTTTTTGAGGCTTCTGAACAGTAGCTTATTTACTAATAGTGGCCGATTAACTTGGTCCTGTAAACAAACAGAAAATACAAGCTGTGGTATGTACTTCATTCCTCTTCTAAAAATGGTATTGAATCAGCTTTTATCTTCGTGTCTCAAATCGCCTATATACCTCAACGAAAAACAAGCCACAAGTGAATTTGCTTCCACAGAATTCATCTTTATTCCAATTAATTGAAGTGGAATCGAATCCTAATTAACTCTCAGTTCTCATAACTTTGTTGATGGAAGGGCACCCCAAGAGTTTACCTTAAATCATTAATTCCACCCGGTTAACTGTGATAAGATCAGCTTTAAACTAGTGATATGGTCAAGAAGTGTTTATTTCATTTTAATCTGGCTGAAAAAAGACTTGAATATCGATGTGAATGGTTTCTAACTACTTAAGTTCAACAGTACATTTCATTGGTTTCAAAATTTCAGTTTATTCTGTTTTGGCAAAGGAAGAAGAATCATTCACACTTAAGGATAGGTATTTTAAAAATCGTTGAAATACCTGATAAAATGCAAATGCCCTGATTTCTTTCCGAAAATATTCTACAAAATACACTTGAAGTATTTTTAACTATCGTCGCTTCTGATTGGCCAGTATGTCTGATGCTTACAGCCAATCACAATCTAACTAACAAACAATAAATATCAAAGGCTACTTTTAATTGGTTTTCTCATTTACGCATTAGTCGTCTAGGTGAGGTTTAGTTGCAACAAATCCTGCGTGCTTTTGCAGGCTTCGGATACATGCGATTCACTTAACCCAATATTCTTCTTCTAAACTAATCGAGTCAATTTTATTTGAACATGACGATGGATATATATTCGAACCATGCAACACTACGTGTGTGAACAGTCCAGAATGAATTAACCTGGATTACCCATAGACTTTGAAGCATATCATCGGTAACTTAGTAGTCTAAATATGACCATGTTTTCAATTTACAAACGCGTATTTTTGATTTCATACATTCTGCACTTCACATTTTCCGTTGGACCTGGTCTTTATAAGTTGCCTTCTAATTCCTACAATGAATGGAATCCTTCTTTATCCTCCGTTTCCTCTTCCTCATCAGCATCATCATCATCATCGTCACTGTCCTCTTCGGCATCTCTGTCTGCGTCAAGTTCATCCGCCCTCTCAGCTGTACCGTATTCAGGGGATACAAACTCATATGCCTATTGGAATTGTCATACAATCCCACCAAATATGACCTTATGTAAAAGTGTTGGCTATTCACGTATGGTATTACCAAACTTTTTGCAACATGAATCATTACGTGAAGCTATACAACAAGCCAATGTATGGATTGCTTTGGTCAATACAGACTGTCATCCAGATATTCAAAGATTTCTGTGCTCATTATATGCACCAGTATGCTTAAAAAGTCATCAAGAAGCTAAAATTCCACCATGTTGGGAATTATGTGATCAAGTGCGTAATGCATGCTTACCACGTATGAAACTGTTTGGATTCGATTGGCCAGATATTGTACGCTGTCAACAATTTCCACGTTTAGCTGAAAGTATGTGTATACCACCACAAGAGAAGAGTACAGGTATGATAAACTGATTTTACTAAAATTATCATTCTTAGTATTTTATGTAGCATTAATTCCCTATTTCATTCATTAGAAGTGTTCAAATGGATACAGTGGATACAATACTCATTTTCAAATGTTAGCGTGTTGTTTCTAACTGTTGAAACAACCATAATTTTCCATTGTGTCTACGGTATTATGCAGCCTATCTGTTACCCACCCCTAATGATGAATAACTCAGAAGAAGAAGTAGACATAAGCCATAGTAATTAATGTGTGGTCATCTTTCTCATTTAGTGATCTTGAACAGTTGTGTTCAAGGTCATATGGGCGTGAACGGCGTATAGCCTGACATAATTGTATAACCTTCCAGGCTATTATACCTCATATCGATACACTTAGATGGAAATGAGCAAAATGAAGATCAAAATACATCAACAGTAGTAAACAGATATGAATAAAGTGAAGGATAGATAGTTGGAATACAAATATTGCTGTTGAATTGAAAAATAAACACAAATGTATCGATTCTATTGGAGTCTAAAGCTATCAGTCGAATATTTTTTGAATTTCAAATATAAGGCTTACATTCCATTCCAGGGACTAGATTGATAGTAAGACTACTTTTGGTCAACTTAAATAATAAGAACTGAATTAATTGAATGAACACCTGAATGACCTTGGAAAAGTAGTCACATTGAAGGATGGACTAGTCCAAAAGTGCAGTATCTTAACACTAAATTAGTTAACTGCAATATATTTAGGCATGAACGTCATGATAGCCTTAGAAATGCTTAGTTCGGTTTTTCATATTTTATTCGTAAAGTAAAGAAATATGATCGGTATTGCTTAAAGTTTTTTTCCGAATCCCTGAGAGTTTGTATATGCTAACTGGTCACAGTTCTTACAAATCATAGGTCCACCTATTACAGATGAACTTACTCAGATTATATGCACACTAGGGATCTCTTGCAAACTCTCTATATAAACACTTTTATAAAACAAGTAGAATACCTCAGTTGAGAGCGTTCTTCAAGATTTTCCTACATTACTAATATTTATTATTACTAGTGTTATTGCTTATATTATTTTTACTATCGTTACTATTATTACTATCGTGTGCATCTTATACAGTTTAGTAATGATTTCGTCTCTGAAATCTGATTTATCTTTCAAGGTCATTTGTGCGTTTGTTTATTTGAGCCATTTTATTTTAATCCGGGCCTTTCCCCAACCTACACCTACTCCAACTAACGCAACACGCATTATTATTATTATTATTGTTATTATTAAAACACAAACATGGTACAGAAAAGGCACCAAGAAATGCGCCGCACAAAATAGTACAATAACGATGTGAAGATATAAATCCTCTTTTTATATTGTAATTTCGCATCTTATGTGGGAGCTAGGATACCTCCCGAGCCCCTCAAGCCGAAGCTGGTGGTTGTCTTAGGGGACAACTCTCCGAGCCTTCGACTTAAAGTCTAATTAACCCAAGAGGCAGTAGTGCGACATCAGGAGCTGCAGTCTCATGGTTGCCGGGGACGAAAATAGGTTCCTGCGTCATTCGTTTCAATCAAAACCTGGAGCCCGTGAGTACCATTCTTTTGGAATCAGGGTTTTCCAACTCCTGTAGATGGACCCTCTTTATCCACCAATCCAGTGGTAAGTTGTGGAAATTCGCTTGCGCAGTTTCACATCTGTGAAAACACCCAATCATGTGAAGCCAATGAGTAAGACTTCTTTGGTAGAGTCGTTGAACCCTAACTAGAGCATCTGGGGGCAACAACTCACTAAAGTAGATTGTGCATCAAAATGTATGGCAGATAAATAAGTAGAATTTATTGATTCGAACCAGCTACCAACAGGTTTCCTTCCCGATGCTCTACCAACTGAGCTGCGGGCAAAAACTTTGGTGGTTTAAATGAAATAAAAATACCTGGTCAACATTCGGGCCACGTAGCTCAGTTGGTAGAGCACTGGTCTGGGAGCCCGGTGTTATTGGTTCGAACCCTGCGGCAGTTCAAACTTTCTTTCCACGTTCAGACATCACCCAGTAAAACAAAACAGAAATAGAATTTGTTTTGAACAAATTTGAAGTAAAAATAATGAGGATCCCTCTCTGAAATAAACATCACAACGTATTTCTAACTAAGGATAGATTTGTGGAGAACTGACTGACCGACTGATATTAGCTCCTGTCGCATCGAAAAGCAAAGAGTGATGGACAGCTATTTGGTTCATGTTTTGAACTTATAAATAGTGTACACTTATGACTCCTTGAAGAATCAGACTCCCCATCGTTAGGTTCCTAATACGGCAACTAAACGGCGATGATTTCACTGAGAGACCGACGATCTTGAGTTTGATTCCTCACCTCGTCACTAATACGCATTATTGACGAGTCTCAAAATGGGAAGAAACAACTACCCACTATCTGCTGGCTTCCAGCATTTCCACAGCTGTCTTCATTTCACCCTGAGAAATATCTGGGTATCTCTAGTCAGTTTGTTGTCAAGATACCTGAAAATTTTCTTTCTGGATGCCTTAGTTTTAAAGTGCAATAGACATGGAGATGGCACAAAACGAGCAAAATGGCTGCCTAGTGTTCATATCCCCCTGATCTGACTTGTGAAATCTACAAATTAACCTGTTTGGTTCCCAACTACTCAAGTTATTCACTAGTATGTTTATTTAGTTCATAACACTTCTGTATCACAGGTCACACCTTGTGATCTTATCTAATAGATGGTTTTCAACGGAAACCATACTGATACCTCATTTGTGCAGCTAACCAAATACTTAGCTGTGAGAAATGTCAACATCAACTGTGCAATTTCCATATCACTTGAAAACTGATATCAGTTCGTGATGAGAACCGCCTTGGAATGAACTAGTTCTTACATATCATCAAACAAATTGACAATATGAATAGAGGAAAAGGAACTAAAATATTCATATTTTATTAATAGGTTTTAAGTTGGATAAGATAGTTGAAATTCCCAGCTTGTTGAGAAAATCAAAACAAACTTTTCTTGAACGTTTCATTGTGGAAAAGATGAGCCATTTTGGCATCTTGGAATAAATCCATTTTAAAATGGAATTACAACCGACCACAGTGCCCAGGTTTTACTCCTATATCTTGGAATAAGTTGTTCGGTTGGTCAATACAAGTAAAGAAGCTGTATACGTTTGCTTTCACAGAAAAATGTAATTACTTTCAGATGCATCACAACGTTTTCCAGTAAATGTCAAAGGAGAACTTGTAAGATATGAACAACTTCAGGTGGGGTATATTTGATCATTTCAAAGACTTTTGTTAATTGTGAAGCATTATATTTCGCACTTTGATGATGAGTTTTCCTATTTCTCACTGGGTGATAAGTGAAGTTGAAATCAAAACCTGCATCTCTATGGAATTCGAACCACTGACGCCTGGGTTACCAACCGTGCTGTGTGCCAATTGAGCTGCAAGATGCAGCTACTGACCACCTTCTAACTCATCACCAATAGATTTTGCCTGGTTGCCATGCATATCATTTTCAGTTAATCGTAACTGTACATCTTGTGTAACCATGACATTAAGCTTAATGAATACAGTTGCCTGTGGTTATTCCCTGATTTTCTATCCCCTTCTCTCTGGCTCACTCTTTCATAAACATGAACACATACATCAATTATCCTTCAAAGATAATTACTAAATTATAGGTTACTGTTAAACTTGAGAAAAAAAATTCATATTAGTGACCTATACAGAAGTCAGTTGGGAAGATTACAAAATAGAGCGAATATTTGCCTAAATTTGAATAATACTGTCAATGTTGAGTGGTAGCTTCTTAAATGTCATAAATCTGAATTTGTTTAAAAATGACACGCGGAAACCCATTGATATGAAGTTGTAAGCACACTCAGTTAAAAATCATTTTCAGATTTGTACACCAGGTGATGAGTCATATCATCCTGGTTGTCTAAACCTCTTTAAGTGATCCGAAGCTAAGATCTGTGATCTACTGTTTGAATGTTAACTTCCTAGACCACTTAAGTACAACTCTACTTAAAGTAAAATAGCTATATAGTGTTCCCTATCATGTTCCACATTGTGTAAATAAAGTTACTTTTTTGATGCAGCTGTTTGTATCTGTTGTAACCTGTGACCTAATAGACAATGTTTCAACAGTTGAAGGGATGGGTGTTAGATTTAAGCGTCACCGGATTTAGTAACGCAGGAATGAGTCTTGGATAGGGCAAAACACACACGTATAATCCAACTCCTAGACAAAACCACATCTTCAGCGGTTATCTTACGGAAGAAGTTCTTTCATCAAGTTGTTCGGTGTACTGTGTAAAAACGTTTCCTCGTAAAGTGACTTCAGCTGAATAACTGTCAAAATGTAGCAAGCATAAGCCTAAAGTTCTTTAGCAGTATGATCCTTTACCAAACGACTGTTGGATGGTTAAACTTAATCATTAGAACGCTAAACCTGGTATGACTTTTATGTTCGCAGCCTTTATTAGTAAAGTACACCTATAGTTTTGAAAAAATTATTCCTGTAAAGGTTCGAAGGTGTTATATGCAGTTCCTGAGGAGGAGTATGCTTACAATTTGAAGTGCAATTTTCGCTTCATCAAATCTAAGTAATTGTTAACTGCTTACATCACTGGTGATTCCTTCCGCTTTCCCACTTAACTAGTCCACATTTTATGCGGAGACATGCACAGAGTTATAGATGTGCATGCATTCGGCAAACGTAACGTATTCATGCAAACTAGGCTGAATGAAAGACTTTTTCAAACCTTAAGAATTACTCAGTTTCTGTTAAATTCTTAATAGACATTTCATGGATCTAGAATCAGCTGTTGTATTCTTGTTGAAGAAATCATGTTAATTATCAACTGATGAGGAATTTTTATTGTGATTAACAGATGTACACCGACAAAAAGTTAAACTTTAGATGAATCTGCATATCGATAAATCACGTTGTGAGTGTTTTTATTGTGTAGGCCTCCTCTAAAGT